GTACAATGTGAAAACCTTTTCTTTCTTTCTGCCTTGCCTCTGGTCCATCTAACTTTTTATTCAAACCTTGTTTTCTGAGGTGTCAAAGCACACATCCACCACTCTTATTCACCATTCTGACACCCTCACCTCTTGCCTCAAGGTACTCTTGGAGAATAAGTATTAATTACCAACCACTCCACCTCACAGCTGAACACTGCATAAAGGTCTCTGGGCCAAAGTAGATGTGGACAAAACTCCAGCAATTTGCAGACCTCAGCATTTATGGGGCGATTTTTCCTATCTCTGTGCCCTGGGAAGCCAGGAGTTGACCATCTTAAAATTTCTTACTATGTACAGCTGAGAATTTCTGGAGCAGGGAAAAGTAGTGGACCTAATGAGAACTGGCTCCTGAAAGGAAAATCTTCCTTATTTTCAACCTTGAGAAAAAAAAAAAAAAAAAAAGGCACTCCTCCCCCTTCCCCTCCCTGCTGCCCTTATAGCGTGCAGGGGCTGGGGGGGTCGGGGCATTCCAGCAGCTGCTGGCCAGTATCCTGGAAACTGCCTCCTTTTTCCCAGTCTCAGCCCCTTTTATGAAGGAGACAATGTGGACATACAGTGAGTGCCTTGTGCATCACTTGGGGCCCCAGGCCCTTTGACATGGGGATTTTATACAGTGCTCACCACCTCCCCACCCTCCCTGGGGTGCCCCCACACCCAAACCAGGGGGCTTCAGCCTTGCCTTTTCCTAGATTATTCAGAAAGAAATTACAGGCCTTATTTTCTCAAGGGCTCCAGAGAAATATGTGTAATGTGATGCCAGGGAACTAATTCAGATAATTCCAGAATTTACCCATGGATGCCTTTTGGTTTGTTTACCTGAGTCTCTTCTTACTGTTTCTCTCCTTCTTCCACCCACTCGCTCGCCTACCTCTCCCCACGACCCCTGTGCATTTCTCTCTTCATTGTGTTTTGCTCTGGCCCCTCCACAGCATAGGAAAGGCTGCTTCCTGCTCTAGATAAGTGGTTTCCATGCAAAGTTTGGCTTGGCTTTCTCTGCCCGCTGTATCTTGATCCAGAGGCACAAGCTCAGTCAGAGGATTTGGAGGAATTTGTCATTACAATATCCTAGTGTCCTTCTTTTGCATGCTGTCAGTGAGGAGAGCCCATTTCTGAGTAGGGGGTACAAGCCAGCTCTCGAGTTTGTAGCTCAAGGCCTCTGTTGAACAATGATAGAGGTGTGAGTCACTCACATCATGGGAGATTTGGACTCAGGCTTATTAGTTCATCTGAAGAATGGCTTCCCAGTTTCCAAGACAGCATTCCAATATTTGCTGTATCAGTTCCACTGAGGTCTCTCCTAGGAAGATCTGAAAATCTGTGAATTAGCCTGAGGTAGATAATGGGAGGTGAAATGATCATCTATTATTCCCTACTGCTGGTAAAGGCACATTCCATATCTGACAGAAAATTGTTGTGCATGCTTCCTCCAGCCATGGTAATTGAGGCAGACTGGGGCTGGTTTACAGAATATCTCTACAAAATAAACTTATGTCCTTTCCAGATTACTTCATAAGAAGAGGCTTTGGGTTTCTTATGTCCCTGTAATCGTGTCAGAGCTGGGGCAGAAAGCAAAACTTAAGTTTGTTTGATGTCTTTGCACCCATAAAATACATTCTTTTCCAAAGCATGCAGCTTCTTAATCAGAAAGAGAGAGGGCTTTGAGGCAAGCTTCTTTCCTGCAAGCCAGGGCAGACATTTGTGTGTTTATCACAGTCCTTCCTCCCTCCCAGTGCATGGGGCCACATTTAAATGGATTGCCTGGCTCTATAAATCCCACCCAGGAACTGCTCTTGAGTATGGCCCTGCAGTTTTCTTCAGTCAGAACATGTTTACATGCTAATTCACTGAGATCACAGCAACCACACCAACCCATCTGCACCCTGCCTGGCCAAATTACAGCTCTGTGTTGTGCTGAGCTGAACATCTGCCATGCTTTAAATAAAAGGGGTGGCCAGCCAAGCAGCGGGCAGTGCTGCAGACTGCCTGGCAGAGGCAGTGGGTCTGTGTGGCCAGTGGCTTGCCCAGTGTCCCAAGCTGGGGACATTAAGCCCCCCTGGGGCCATGAACTGCTCCTCTCATCACTGGGAGCTGAAGGTGAGTGGGGACACTTCCAAGGTTCCCAGAAAGTTTTTGGACTGGTCTTCTGGGCACAGCTCCTCTGCTGCACTACAAGCTGCCTAGATAGCTCTGCAGCAGTCAGGTCCTAGACAGAGTTCTGGAAGAGACTTGCTCAGGTGCTTTTGGGGCAGAGAGCATCCACAAATGTCTTCTGCAGCCAGGAGTCTGCCAGAAACATCCTTCTCCCTTTCTCATGTGTGCTTCTCCCACCACAGCAGCATGGTATTCCTTTCCTCTGTCCCATGCCCACTGTGAGGACCACAAGCCATTTCAGACATTGTGCAGAACTGACCCAAAGAGTCTCTTGCAAAAGGTATGATACTTCCACAGCAGTGGCAATGATTCCAGCTTGCTTAAAATTTGAGGGGCTCCAGGAGGATACTAAGGCCATTTTTCATCTCATTGTGATAGCCTCGACTGCCCAGAGGCTCCAAAACCCCAGGTGAGAATTGAAAACATCACTCCATCCATTTCAGAGATGTTTCAGTAAGAAATGTTTTATTCTTATCCTGGGCTGCGCCAAAATGATGGGTGGGCCAAAATATTTGACTGCAAATTGCTTAGCACCTGTTGTGTTCAGAGACACTCAGAGCAGGTTAAGCTTCCTGGGGGACTGTTTTGGGAAGAAAGTGATATATTTTACTGTTAAAGGAAAGTTCTAGGGACATTGGATGAGACAACCTGTGTGGAAAGAGGGATAGACAGAGGTCACACAGTGTCTAAGCTGAGGTGCCTTGCACCACTCCAGCAGCTCCCAATGCTCGGTGCACCCTCTGTGTGACCACCTGTAAGCCCAGCCAGGACTGCAGAGAGGAGAAAGATGGGTTTGTGTGCAGGCTGATTTCCTGGACCAGGCAGTGGAAGCCCCTGTGATGCCTCTGAACCAGGCTGAGGACTGTGGTCAATCACACTTCATTACAAGCTGAAGCAAAGCATCACCAAGGAGTTTGCAACCAGCTGGTCAACAAAAAGGAGAGGCCATAGAGGGAGGAAGTGTGTTCCATAAATGTGGGTAAGGAATATATATTATGAGCATGCTGGGAATAAAAACAAACTTGTACCAGGGAATAGTATGCCTCAAGTTTCAGAGCAGTTCCTGTGAGCCCTCTGAAAGCTTATTGCAGTTTTTTAGAAGTCACTGGTTCCAGCAATATCCCCAATGTTTAGGAGTGAGGAATGTTGCCAGACCCTCTTGAGCTATGCCTCCAGAAATTTAATAGAATTATTAAGTGCATTTAGAGTTCCTGTTTATTGTTAGAGGCATGATGTCTTAGCTTGTCTGCTGAGTTGTTTTTTTCATGCAATGCTCATAAATTAAAAAAAAAAAAAAAGATGGAAAAATGAGCAGAGATCTGCTTTTTATACCAAACAGGGGGTTTTTGAGTCACCTGGTCTCAGTTACACCTGGCTGCTACATTGTCCCTCACCTATACAGAAGTCTTACAGGCTGATGGATGGGCTGTCTGGGAAGGGCAGTGTGACGCAGCATTCAGATGTCCCTGTTAGAATTAAGCAGAAGGCTTTTGTCATTTTTAATGTATTTTTCTATTATAATGAAAAAAACTTTACTTCATTTTGAGCCAGAATGACAAAACAACTTTTTTATTTACACATCACATTTCTGGAGGTGGGGAGCATGCAGCTATAAACTGATGTGATTCAGCCATGGGGAAACTTGCCTTCCTACTGTCTCTCCTTTTTTTTATTGGAACAAATAGACACATAGTAAAAATGCAAGCCAGCTTTTTTTTTCTCATACTATAAAATAGGGAGCAAAGCCGGCTTCCCCTCATTTTCCTTTACTTCTTTATTCTGTCCTGTCTTTGCCAATTGGAAACAGAACCCAGAGTTACTTTGTCTCTGGAAACAGCTCTTGTAGGGCTAAACTGTTTTCAATGATTTCCAAACAGAAGAGCCCTTTGGAGCCTACATGGCCTTCTGAAAGTTTATAGGGGAGGAGGACAAAATAAATTCATATTTTCTTCTGTCAAGCTTGTATGGTGAGAGGAAGAATTGGTGAGAAATATTCTCTGGGAAATTTATATTGGCAATTTCCCCACTGACCAATCAATATCAGGGGCATTATACATAAATATGAATACAAAAAGCTAAAACTGCCTGTCCTTTTCCTGTGTTTTCTTCAGCACTACTGACAGCCTTCCCCTTGCATGAATTACCTACTAGAAGTGCTGTGTTGACTGCATGGTGTGAGGAGATAGGAACAGAGGTGGTGGAAGGTGTATGTTCTTCTCACAGCAGTGTTCAACCCCAAAGCAAGCACAGTTTCTGTGCTCAGGAGAAGAGATCCTTCATCAGTGACCCTGTAGAGATGCAGATATAGTTTCCCTAAATCAACAGCAAAAAGAAACAGAAGTGGAAAGCAGCTCTGGAGTGAGAGAGCATGAGAACAGGCTTCACAAGTACTGCAGCTCTGATGATAAAGCTCCTTGCTCAACATCAGAAGAAATTCCCAATGCTGTGCCATATGTTGTTTTCCTTTTACAGAATAAAGATTGAGTATTAAATGAGATACAGCAAGGAATCACTGATTAGAGTTGTTCCCTGGAAAAGATTAGGAGAACATTTGGTTTTCAGTTTGAAAATTAAATGAAAAAGTAACAAGCCTTGAAGGAACTTTCCAATGTGGTTTTCATCTGGCTTGGCAGGTTTCTCCTGGAGAACAGAGAACAGAAAGGTAAAAGAAGATAGGAATTAAAAAAACATGCTGTGACCCGGATAGAAATTCTTCATCAAAAAAGGGAAATGCAGAAGCAAAACTGTATGTAATGAAAGCCAAAAATCTTATTTAACCATGTTTTTCTCTCTTGTTTCTTCTGCAGGGCCAAGTATTTCCAGGGGAAGAAGGTGAATGGAGAATTTGATATCCGAGTGGAACAGGTCAGTGCCAAGTGAATTCTCTCTGAGGAATGTATGTGGACACAGCTAGGGAGAGGTAATCTGTCCCAGGAATAGTATTGAGGTTCATAGCCTGGTTTATGTGCTCCCCTGGGCACTGGGCACATTCTGTTTCCCTGTTAGCCTTGGCACCAAATACTCATTTCAATTGAAGCCTCTTCATGTTGGGGTCTGTCCCCTGCTCTGTGCGTTGGTGCAGTGTCTGTCAAAAAAAGTCCCATATGGACTGAGACTGGATGCTGTTGGCAAAAGAGAAATTATTATTAATAATAATCATCTGCAGGCCCCCAACTGGAAATCAGGCATAAGAAGAGAGAGATGTAGAGATAAGAAGGTGGTCCTGAGGGAACCATATGCTTGTTTTATACTCATTAGGACTATAAAAATGTTTGGGTGGGTAAAGAAAGCTGCTGAATGTTGTTTGAATGACCTGATATTTCTGTTTTAATAAGGCTGTTGATTCTGCATGTGTGCATGTACAGATTATTAATGCAGTGCTTTTGAAGACTTTCTCAGGACCCATTGCCCTTGAAAAGGTGTTTCTTTTCTTTTCAAAGGGGTCCTGTCCTGTTGTCTATGACTGTTCCTGAGCACACATGTTCTGATCAAACTGTGTCTGGGACAGATTTTTCTTTTTTTATTGATATCACACTTGTCAGTCTGGGTGGTAATAGCAAGAATAATTCTTCCTGGCATTTCCTTATCAAAGTATTTATTTTGTTATCAGCCTTAGCAATTATTCTAAAAGAGAACAGGAAAATATTAAAAATTTACAAATCATGCTACTCACTTAGAAGCATGAAACCAAATAATTTAGGTTTTCCTATCATTCAAGGTGGATTCAGCTTCAAATCTAGACCTGGTACTCTTCAAAATGGCCTGTTAATTCCTTCCCAAACCTACAGTCTCTGCCTTTCCTCTCATAATCCTTCTCCTCAGATGTTATTGCACTTGAAGTCCTTACAAAGGAACTGCCTTCAAATGTTTGGTGAGTGCAAAAGGTCAGGAGTGGACTCCTGATCCTTGCTGGGGGATCAAGCTGTGACCCTTGTCACCATCACAGAGCAGCTTATCACGTGTCCCCACGGGCTCTGGTAGGGAGGCTTTCCCATTTTACCTCTGGAAATCCTTCACATAGGCTGAATGCCCATGTTCCAGATGAGGCAACAAATTGCTCCAGGCAAAGACCATAATGCAATTTCCTGGTGAGGACCATGGTTCAGCCCCTGCAGCTTTCATTAAATGCCCATAGTGACTGCAGCACTGCCCAGTGGGTAGGAGAGTTGAGGAATGGAAAACAAGGATCCTGGCTATTTCCACTTTTCCCCTCCCTGCCACTCAGATCAGGCAGCCCAGCCTCCATTTAGTGGGCAGGGAGCTGCTCTTGACTCCTCCAGACCTCAGAAGAAGGGATGATGGCTTTTCCCAGCTGGATCACTATCTCTCCAGGGAAACACAGAGGCTGCATTGTCAAGGGCAGTCCTTGAATCTGACCCCAGGCCCCTCTTGTGTATTGTTAGAGGCACTGATTCCTTCAGTCTCTGGCTTTTTCTTCCCTTCTTATTTTGTCCATCCATCCTTGCTCAGTATTTCTTGATAGTTAATTTTCACTCATTGCTTCTACCCTATTTATTTGGAGCCTTCCCAACTTCACCTCTTCCTCAAGCAGTCCAGGAGCCTAAACTGTTGTGGGAACAGGTCCCCTGAAGTTGAATGTTGACCCTCTCTACCTGAAAAATGAATGTTCTTCGACAGTTTTCTTAAAAAAAAAAAAAAGAAAATAACTGTGTTCATCAACATGGTCCACATCTTTCTCTGTGAGCTCCCAGCTCACAGCCCTCACTCCTGTAACTCTCCCCCATGTGGCACACAGGCTGTGCCATGGTGCACAAGCCTTAACCTGGCTGTTCAGTTCTGAATAAACTCCCCATCAGAGACTTCGATTCTTAGGCACCTCTTGAACCCTGAGCATTTAGTCTGCTCAGTAAGCTCATTTAGTTTTTCATTTTTCCATGTGATCCTGTATCAGATAACCACACATTATTAACTCAGCCAGAAATGCAGTTTGCCTCAGGAACTTTTTTTAGATTTTATAGGCAAAAAACCACTTTTGATCTGAAAGGCTAAATAACAAAGAAGTTTGAACGGCAGAAAGCAGTGAAAGGAAATATCCAAATGTTAAATACTCTTGGAAAACCACACTGGGAAAAAGCCATTTGCCTTATTTTTACTGTCCTTGCTAACTCTTTTGCCATTCTCCCAGGGTGTTCAGTAGTTGGTTTGAACTTTTTCTATTCCTTTTTCATATCCATCTCTGTTACATTTCAGTTCTTTCTAAGCAAGCCATTTTAGCAATCTGTGGGGGAAGCAGAGCAGGATAGTAGGTGATATTTTTTGAAAGCCGTGCCATCAGTTACTTGTAAAGGAGCAGGAGTGCTGCAAGCAGCAGTGTCTCTCAGTAATCTAATCTGGTTGTACACCCCTACCAGCTCTCCAGGCTGCCTCCCCCTCCTCTGAGGAGTGCAGGACATTTGTGATCAAGCTGTCCTGCTCTGTCTGTCCCCCACACCCAGCTCTGTGGAACGCATTGGCTCACTTCAGCTGGATTCCAGAACCAGGCAGAAGCTTCTGCAAGAGGTGAATCCAGTTCATGTTAGACACTGGGTAATACACAGGGAGGAGACTGTTAAATGCATCCTGCTGCTCAGGGAGCTGCTTCTGCAAGTCTCAGCTTCTATGAAAATAGGTTTCATGGACTCTCCAATAAGGTTTTCTGGTTCTCTGGCAGTGAGTGAATTGCATACCTTGATAGCAAGCCCAGGCCCCGGTTCTTCACATCCATTATTCCCAGGAAGAGACAGGGGTTACTGTGGGCATCACCTGGTGCCAGTGGATGAGGAGAGAGCTGGCAAGGACACTGCAATGTGTACACAACTCTCCTGTCATTCATTAAAATTAATGTGAAGCCTGACTTTGTTTCTTCTCTTCTGATCCTCAGTGTAACACTGAAATCATATTTACAATATGCTTTAAAGGCTGAAGGATTTATTATTGTCCACCATTTAGTGAAACCAGGCAAGCAGCGCCACTGCTTTCTTCCTGCTGGCTGCAGGGAGGGAGGTGAAAGGCTTTGGTGGTGTAAAGCCAGTTCAAGCACTCCCCTGAGTCATGGCCTCTTTTTCTTCAGAGGCAGTTTGGATTACATTTTGCTTCTTTGGGTATTTTTCCACTTCTGTAGCAATGATAGCTGTTCATGAGACTGATTGAAACACTGATCCAAAAGTGAAAATCTATTTGACCTACTCTGATCAAACCCCTGATGGTTTAAGTTTTACTCAGTATGGGTAAAGCTCTAAGCTTTAAGAGAACAGCTGAGTCTAAAAATACTATCTCTTATTTTATGCTAAAAATAAGCTGCTTAAATTTTGATCCACATTGTTGCTTTTGCTTGTCTGGTGATTTCTAGCTTTCAGAACTGCAGTGTATGCATCTCTAGTTCTTTTCTCTAGAAATACAAATACTAAAAAAGTTCTTTTAGAAATGAAAAGCATAAGTTTGAATAAATGTCTCTAAGGCTAAGTTGAACTTAAAGAAGAATCTTAAAGTGTCACAGGAGTGGACCACATTGCTTTTAGTCTCTCACAAAAAAAAAAATCTTGCTTTTATCTCCTCAGTTCTTCATTGGCCAGAGGGCAGGAGGCATTAGGAACCACAGTATACCGAGGAAGAGGAGGAATTATACCATAGGCCTTATGCTCTGTCAGATGTTTTTCTTCTTTAGAGAGAAACTAATTCAGCACCTCCTTCCCCACCCTCTCTGCTGTCCCAGAGGAAACTAAATCTTGTGCACTCTGAGGATTTCTGAGGTTTTCCATTTGGATCATTACATACCTTGTGTGGGGTCTCCTTGGGCATGAAGCATGCCCCATGCTCCAGAGGAATGCCTCATGGCCAAAATCCCCAGAGACAAGCAGAGAGGGTGGGAGAGATGGGGCTGAGAGGTGGAGCCCAGGCCCATCAGCCAGCCATGGCCCAGAGGGTGGGGGCACACGAGGGGCCCCTCGCTGCCCGTCTGGAACAGTGATGTCTGCAAAGCAGGACATGTGCAGAACAGGGTCACTGCGATGGCCGTGGAGATCTGGCTTGTGAGAGGAGACTGCACGAGTTGAGTTTGTTTCTCCTGCCATATCAGAGCATAAAACAGACGTGAATCCTTTCAGTAAAAAACTTGGTGCAGGCAAGTTACGGTTTCACGACACAGTGCCGAGCGTAGCAAGGGATTAAAGCCTATGGCTCTGATGGGCTTTTCCAGTCCTGTGCCCTGCACGAACCAATGAGGGACACAGCAGGCAAGAGCAAGCAGCACCTCTTAGAGAGGGTCCCCCACCTTCAGGGTACCTTTCCTGCAGGTATTTCCCAAAGGAATTTTAATATGTTCACAGACATCTTTCCTGGCATTGCCTAATTGATGGTGGAGTGGGGTGAAAAGTGTGAAAAGGGGAGTCATGAAGCCCAAAGGTCCATTTATATTTTTATCCCTGGTGTTTGTTCACCCTTCTCCTTCCCACCATTTCCTTGCTGTGACGAGGTGGGTCCATCTGTCTGTCTGACACGCATTTTTCTTGCACAGCTCATTCACTTGTTCCCACTGTTCAGTTTATTTTCAGGGAATGATTATTCAGTGAACTCGTATGTACATGCTTCTGGAAAAGTCTTGTGGTATAGATTATGACTCCATTGGCAGCATTGTCAGGAAAAACGTTGTACTTGGCAGTCACAGAAGATAATTGTAATACAAATCATGAGTTCCAGCTCCATTGTACTTCCCGCCCTAAAGAGGTATTTTCATGTGTGGTGTAAAATGGTCCTTTCAAAAGGTAGAGTGTGACAGGTCGGTGTGTGATGAAAGGAAAACTAGCCTGTTGTCAAACAACACTATAATTTTTATTCATTATATGTTTAGAGTTTGGGATTTTTTCCAGCTGAATGCCAGAAAACAGTTCAAGAACAGCAACAGGGTTCTCATAGCTTGCCACATGCAAGCATTCAGAAACCATGAATAAAGGGAGAAGTAGCAAGAATTACTTTAAAATCATTATTTTCTTAAATGAATACTATCTTCTTTTTTTTTTTTTTTTAATTTTCATTGACTTTTGGAAGTTTACAGAGTTCATGGTTTTGAGCCATTTCCTGGGATCAAAATATTTAGAAATATGCTTTTTCTAAACCTCAAATTTTCAGGTAACTTCTGAAATGACAACTCACGAGACAATTCTGAATGCCATCAGAGCTGATGCCCCAAAAGGTGTTCTGACAGGTGAAGGCATGTGGCCCTTCAGCACCAGCCTTGTCTCTAGCCTAGGAGAATCACCCCAGCTTCAGGACTTGTGAAGAGCACTTGAGGAAGCTGCTCTTGGAGCCATAAAGCAATATTCACATCACAGATGGACTATCTCCATTCTTTCCTCCCAGGGAGCAACCCTAGTACTGGGGAAAGGTGGGGAGCAGGGTGCCTGCCCAAGAGAAAATGTCTCAGGAAAAGACATGAGGAATCAGGATGTGTAATCTCTAATTCTGCGTGCATGCATAGCCTCAGCCCTCATCCCACAGGCATCCAAACTATCTGCTCACCTTTCTGCCTCTGCAGGACTTAGGGATTGCTTACTTTCCCCTTGGGATGCTTGTAATGGTTTTAGTGAAATGTGCTGCTTTAGGAATGCAGCCTGATGTGGGCCCTTCCTTGTACATGTCAGAAGATCCACCAAAAAATAAGGCATAAAATCCATGAGGAATGTATGAGATTTGATTTTCCAGTAGCAATTCCTCATCCCAAGTGCCTAAGCCATGGCACGGACCAGGCTAGTCAGTAGGCCAGACAAAGCAGTGCAGGGATTACAGTGGATCTCAGCCAGAATATGAGTTAAAAAATAGTCGCACTGCTGCATGTATGACAAATCCATACTCAAGCATATGGTTGGCAATTTTACATATGGAGGAAGTTGTGAACTTGCCAGAGAGAATCCCTGTGACAGCAACAACTCTGATCAATTCACTGAAAAGATCACCTTCAAGAAAATCTTATAAGAATGGGACTACTTTTGTCTAAAAAAAAAAAAAAAAAAAAAAAAAAAAGAAGGGCAAGTCTTTGAGGAATAAAATAAATCTTCAGTTTCTGCAGAAAGAAGTAATGGACACTGCCTTAAAATGTAAGGGGAGAGATTTAGATTTAGATTGGGCTTTGGGAAAATTTTCCTTTGTTGTTAAGGTACAGACTGCCTGAGGATGTTCCTCATCTATGGAAGACAGAAGAAGGTTATGTAGTATCTGCACACAATGGCAGAGGCAGAGCCGGTCATGCCTTAGGAAAGAGAGAAAGACTATGATGTCTTGAAGTCCTTCCAACACAGCTTTCTGTTATTCTGTGAAAAATGCTTAAAATACACCTTGAACACATGCTTCCCCTAAATCACTAACAGGCATAGCTACCAAGCCAGGCATTTCTACTATTGCATGATTGAAAATGAAATATCTTCCTGTTTTAATATCAGGAAACAGAAATAGACACTCTAAAATAGCTCACCAGAAAGAGCTCCAGCATACAGAGGACACTGATGGAAACTGAGAGTACCTTAAGGTTTAGTCCAAATGATTTGGAGAGTCTTCCAATTCTTAATACCTGAAGGAGGCATCTTTGACAAAACTGTGATCAAAGTAGCTGTGGGCATCATCTCACATCTGAGCCTCACAGAGGTATGAAATATTTCTACTCCCACAGTCTTATTAGATTATTCTTCAGGACAGATTGTGTCACGTTTGTCACACATGGTTTGCTCTTGCCCTGAATGTTTTTGCAGCCATTGTCACTGCTGCGAAGTATAAAACACCATCAGGCTAATGCAATGCCTTCTTCTGTTCCATGATTCCTCATGCAAATGACTCTGCAAGGCCACGGGGACTGGGCTCTCCCGTTTTGTGCATAGTTACCTGTCACTCTATCTGCATGGGCTGCTTTCAAAGACCTCTTTGTCTGCAAGGTAAACTCAGGCTGGAGATGATCTCAGAGCTGAAATCTCAGCCAAGGGAAGTCATCGGGCTACAAAACCCACAAAGTTAAAAATACAGGGAGCACTGGAAAATCAACAGGAAACAATTTCTGCTGACTGAAGGTTTTAGCCTTCTTCCAAAAGCCAGCTAGCAGCGGCCTGTTGGATGGAACAAAGCAGCTACATGAAAGGAGCAACATTCCTTAACTTTGTCTGTTAAAGCAGAAGTGAATGCCAGGCAAAGGTCAGGATTGTCCCTCAGCTCTGATTGTAGATCTGGACGTTTTGGGAGTGAGATAGCTGAATCCCCCAGACCCTCTCTACACTTCTCTCTCCTTGCCAGTGTTCCCTGGACAATGGTTGCCAAAGGGGATTTCTCCTTTTCTTCTGGCTCTTGACATTAGCAGGGCCTGAAATTGGTCCTGGCAGTTTGGCATGAAGTGCTCACCAGCTCGGGGGGTTCTCAGGGCTGTTTGCAGGTCAGGTGTCTGAGCACAGCTTTGTTGGCCTGACTGCCTCAGGGAAACGCCTGTCAGACCAACTTAGGCAGACTGCAAGTGCCCCTCATCGAATGAAGACTGCCCATTTTCTCCCCCAGCAAAGAGGAGTGTTAAGCACTTTACTACAAACCATCATGGCAAAAAACTTTGGAAGAAAAGCATAAAAAACATGAAAACACAGACCTAAAACTTCCCTTTCTTGCACTGGTGTTCACATCAGATGATGCATTCCTCAGCAACAGAAGCTGGAGGTCCTGCTCCACAATGCTCTGCTTTCAGAGTGGGACATCTCTGAGGCACATGGAGACACAGAGGTGGAAAAATCATCCTTTCATCTCCCCAGTCCACAGAGCCTCTGGAGCTAATGTGTACAGTAGCAAGCTTGCCATGACCCATTGGGGAGATCGCTGATGGTACCCAAAATATCTGATCTTACTGAGTTTGTCCAAGGTGGACTCCTCTCTCCCCAGGTCTCCTGAGATTTTTCAAATGTCTAAAAGGCAGGTGCCTTTCAGGGGTGCGTTTTGCTCACCTCTGATCTGATAGGGTCACTGAAGAAGCGTGGCTGTGGCCAAGGCAACACAGTGCAATCTCTCATGAGTAAAACCCAGGCAGTCACCTGAACCACTGCCAAACCCTCCCTGTGAGCATGTCTGTGTGTGTGTTTGTGTTTGAAGTAGAATTTATTTCTTGGCAATAGGAATTTTCCCCCTCTTTTCATTGTAATGGGGAGTTACAATGATGTAAGATCGTGTAAGGGTGTTGCTTTAAAAAGTTTACACTGAGCTGCAGACATGAAATCTCATTACATCATCAGGTCACCAGTCCACAGCCATGGCTTTAAAATTACATGGATTTTAAAAGGAAAGTTGGAAATTATTTTTTCATTTGTCGTCTGGCCTTTGAGCCTTTACAGGTGCACCAGTTCTCCATTGGCAAGTTTTTTCCATGAGTTCATGAGGACAAAACACACTCTTTTTTTTTTCTTCTTTTTTCCTTCTTTTTTAATGCATAAAATTTGTTCCTGGCACTATCTTTTGGTTCCAACTAATAGAAGTAGCAGAAGAACATTAAACAGTACAAGGATCTCAATAAAGTCATAAGTATTAGCAGCACCATCTGAGTGCTCTGGTATTAGCTACTGGTTAGAAGATGAATTTACTGCTGCCCAGCCTTCATCATACTAAGTCTGAAAAAATGCCTTAAAAGGAAGGGGAAAAAAGCACTCAAAGGGAGAAGACTAAATTTTCTGCCTCAAAAAATGAAACCTGTTTATTTATATTTATCATAATCACCCCTGTATCTTTTGCTCCCCATGGTTGAAATATCCCTTGCCAACTATTCCAGCCTTGCAAGTCATGTCTCTTTTAAAATACAAAGTGTTTTAATGATTGAGCAGATGTCTTAATAACTTACCCAACTTTGCTAATTCTTTAATAGTAAAAAACTTAGTAAGCAAATCACATCAGGTGACCTCTGCTTATCACCTTCCTGCAACATAATGAGGTTTAAAAGGGTTTAAATCTTTTGTATTAGGTTTATAGCTGGCCAGTGGCATGCCAGCCAACTCAGACATAATTCTTAATGGATGTCTCCAAGTGGAAACTTGGAATTTGAATTCAAATGACCTAACATCTCTTCATTATTATTGTTATTATTTTTATTATTCTTTCCTGTGTGCATTTTTCAGCCTGCTCATTCTTAATTCCTTCAGTACTTATTACTGCAATAAGTCTAATCCTGTGTACTTTCACAGCCCAAGTGTGGGAGCCATAAATACTTCTGCAGTCTCTCAGGGCAAACCAGCTATAATTGGATCTCCAGTTGCCTCACAGAAAAAAAAAATTAAAAAAAAAAAGAAAAGAAGGAAAGGCACATTCCAGACAAAGAAAATTCTGCATCTGTGTCTGTGTGTTTGTGTTTCTGCCACCCTTGAGTAACACTTTGTCCTTTTGCTCCATTCCAGGCTGAGTTCTCCGAGTTGAACCTGGCTGCTTACGTCATGGGTGGCTGCATGGTGGACATGCAGGTCATGAGGAACGGCACCAAGGTGGTCAGGTGAGGAGCACCAGCTGCCCTTGGGAACTGGGCTCTGTGGATCAGTGTTGGGGCAAGCAGGTTGGCCTCACAGTGGGACAGATATGTGAATCGGGCAGCACAATCTGGGTAGCTTCAAGGATTCCTGGAAGTGGTGAAAGGAATGGCCTGACTCTGGTGGGTTTGTATCAGGTCTCAGGTGTGCATTATGCCAGTCATTGTTTCTGGTCTAGACCCTTCATGCAACAGCAAATGCCTCCTTCTCAGGTTCTTTTTAGCCTCCAGACTCCCAATAACAGGGACAACAGATCTTCTTCTCCCTTGATTTTTCTCTTCCTCTTCTCTTCCTCTGTCAACTAACCCTCATTTTAAACAGTGCCTCTGATTCACTAGCCTGCCTGTCTTGGGCCCTGATCCCAGTGGACTGCCCTTGCAGTAGCCACTAAGCCCAGATGACCAGATCAAGAGCAGCCCTGAGAAGAAGGACTTGAGGGTGTTGGAGGATGACAAGCTTGACATAAGCCAGCAGTATGCTCTCACAGCCCTGAAAGCCAGCCACACCCTGGGCTGCCTCCAAAGAAGCGTGGCCAGCAGCGCAAGGGAGGGGATTCTGCCCATTTGCTCTGTTCTGGTGTTCTGGTGACCCCCAGCTGAAGCACTGCGTCCAGTTCTGGGGCACCCAATGTAAGAAGGACGTGGAGCTGTTAGGGCGAGTCCAAAGGAGGGCCTTGATAACCATCAGGAGGTTGAAACACCTCTCCTGTGAAGACAGGCTGAGAGTTGGGGTTGTTCAGCCTAGACATGAGAAGAAGAGACCTTATGGGACCTGCAAGTACCTAAAGGGTACTACAATAGAGGTTTGCAAGGACATGTAGTGATAGGACAAGGGGGAATGGCTTTAAACTGAATAGGGGTGGATTTAGGCTATATACCAGGAGAACATCCTTTACTGTGGGGGTGGTGAGGCACGGGCACAGACTGCCCACAGAAGGTGTGGATGCCCGTGCCTGGCAGTGCTGTGTTGGATGGTGCCTTGAGCAACCTGGTCTAGTGGAAGGTGTCCCTGCTCATGGCAAGGGGGCTGGAGCCAGGTGACCTTTCAGGTCCCTTCCAATGCAAACTATTCTGTAATTGCAAGATCCTGATGCTTGTAGCCTGATTTGCTCCTGAAGTAGCACTGTTTTCTTTATGGGAGATGCCCAGTGCTCTGGCATTGCCCTGTGGTGTATCTCAGAGGTAAAGCCTGTCTCTGTTTGATGGGGATTTCTGTCCTACAAGCATTACTTCATAATGGCATTCATTGCAAGCACACTCTTTTCCCAAACAATGCTTCTCAAATCACACATCCAATTCACTTCCCAAAAGCATTGCTCCCCTTCTTTCAAGCACCAGAGTGACAGCAATTTGTAGCTAATGTTAGATGCATCTTTACAAGTTCTATGTAAAGAATAGTGTCACATCTGTGTAGGATGCCTCTGTTTACCTTCACAAATATTACCTTCCACCCTATTATTCCCAAGCCTTCATCTTTATGGGTTCCTGTCATTGCAACTCTACATTTCATCTTTGATACAGTAGCTTTTCTCTGTTTGTGTTGAAATCTCGTTGTTCCAAATTAATTTTTTTAGCCACCCTGCTTCTTTTTGTTCAGCTCCTTTGCACTTTTTGGTGTATTCAGGATCTTTGAGCTAAATACTGTTGACATATTTAATCAGCGCTTTTGTCTGTTTGCAACAAGTTCAAAATTAGAGGTAGAGACACATAATCGAGCATGCAGTGATATTTTTGAAAGGGATTACTAGAACAGCTAAAAAACATAATTTTGAGCATGCTGGCCTCAGTTTAATTTCTCGAAATCTCATTTCCAGTCCAAACAGTGCAAAGCAAAACATGTCACTGTCAATTAGCTATGACTGTGGTCCATCAATTCATTTCAGGTCTTGACATCCCTCTTAGTACACCCACAAGTCTCCATTTGTTCTTTGGTAAAACTTCACGAGCCTCTGCTAAAAACCTTTAAAGCTGTGTCTGTTACATGCATTTGCTTTCTCCCTGTCTGTTTCTGAGTGAAACAAAGCGTTATGTCCCATGAACCAGCCGCTGGAGCACTCATCAGACAGTGTGCAGTGCTAATGCACTCCTGCCTTCGCTTGCTCATGGTGCTGGAAGGTTTCCCAAGAACCATTTCCTAGGTTGATCACATCTTCATTTTCCTTCCTGTGTCTTTCCTCCAAAGCCATTCATACATCTGGCAGAAAGATCTTGAGCTATTAAACTGAAACTGAAGACAAAATTTATTTTACAAAATTGTCTGGGGCATGGTGTTCATGTTTCTGCTCATGCTGAACACACAGGTATTCCTGCTACCATTTTTGCATGGATATTTATATGTGAATTACGTGGGTTTTTGAATGGCATTAGCTCAGGAGGGTTTTTTGTTTGTTTGTTTTCATTCCTGCATGTTTAAGGACACATTTGCATTGTGGGAAGCAGGTCTGGTAAATATATACTTGTCTGGATATGCAATTTATATAGCATATGCTACATGCCATAGTCCTTGCAACCAGCAAATATTTGTTTACAGCCTGTGCTGATATGACCCTCTTGTGCCCAGCTCAGTGAGTTTAAGAGCTTAGGTGCCAACTTCCACAGCCACTCCTAGAAATACTCTAGAAGGTATAGAAATTAAAACTCTTTTTCACTTCAGAAAGCAAATTGTGTGAGCTGTGTAGAGGCACCTCAACCCATCCACATGGGTACAGCTTCTTCCCACTTCCTTCAAGTCCCACAGTCCCATCCACAGCCATGTCCTGCCTGGCTACAGACACCTTTCAGAGTGCCCAGCCACAGGGAGACACCTTCAACTCATGTGTGCACCAACCCTGCTGCTGCTGTCCTCTTTCTTCCATCACTTATCTGTCCTCTGTTAATAACTGAGCAAAACATTCAGTCAAAAGTCAGAATGCTTCTAGGTGGTGAAGTATAATACTCATCATATTTTTTGAATACCCAGAATCATGGAAATCCCACTGACAATTTATAAGGAGATAAATACAACACCATCTTGCTAACAACCACATTTGGGATTCCCTCCTGCAGGAGCCCTGCCTGCTTCACATTCCTCTTCAAAGGAAGAGCAATGGAATGTAGCAGTTTAGGGGAAAGACAGTGAATATACTACAGACCAGTAGATTTAAATCACTGAAATAATAAATTTCTTAAAACCAACAATTCATATTCAGCAACCACTGGGCTGCCCTCTCCAAACTGACATTACATTTACTGATAAGCTATCTAACAATTTCTTAGCCTATTAAATTCCATCATTTTGGAGCAGGTCTCCTAGTTTTTTCTTTAAACTGGAAATACCATATGGCACCTGTAAAGCAAAGTTTAAACCAAAGGGTTTTTTTCTGCTGATCACTTGGTGTTTTCTGACACCTTGGAGTTAAGGCTTTCTTTCATACTCCACGTAAACTGATTTGAAATGCACCAGGAAAAAATTATGGTTCTTTTACCAGGAAGATTAATTCCCTTGGTAAGAAGGTATAACTGTCCTTAAAGCCTTCCATTTACCCCTTTTGACTCAGGATAATTTTAAAAAAAGAAAAAAAGATGCTTTAGAAATATTATTGGCAATTACAGAAAGCAAAGACATGGACATATACACGACTTCTAGCCTGTGTATCTTGAAATAAGTAGCTGCAAGTAAGTTAACAAACAATCTAACTGAAGCCAGACATTACTTTGCTTGCCTGAGTTTTAAAACAAACGAGGCTCCAAGAATTTAAATTTACAGTAACAATGTTCTGGGTCTCCAACTTCTCTTTTTTGGCTACTACATTCTGCACATCTGTAGGAGGGGGTGGAGGATTTGAGATAGTCAGCAAAATGTGCTACTGGAGACAGAGGCTATCATCTAACAAATCTAAAAAACTGCATCTGTGTTTTCTGTGCCAGTTCCACCATGGTTTGTGAAGGCTCCATCAGCCTGTTCAGCACATTTCCTTCAGAGAGCTGGCCATGAAGTACCTTGTGCAGCCTCTAGCAAGCACTTTTCCATGTCAGTGCCCCGTAACCCTGGCCCTGACTGAGGACATAGGGGGATGAGCTGGGCAAGGGAGCAGCGCTGGGTTCAGCCAGGACTGGTGGTGGGGTGGGGTCCTTGTTACCCCAGCACTTACTTGGAAAAAATTGGCAGCAGACCTTCCCTATTGAAAAGTTAAATATGGGAAGCAGGAGGTAGTGTTTATTCGTCCCAAAGGATCCCTATCCAACTTAGACATAGCAACTCTTACAACAGAGAAATGGAATAATTTCTGGGTGCAAAGTACTAGTGGAGTACTAGTGTGTAAAAACAAATGTGGGTTCATGCCTACTTTTAAAACACTTGGGTGGATTTCTTCATCCTCCTCCCAGTGCATACACAACCTCCTTTTGGACAGGCCTACCCACACAAACAGAAAGAGACAGAGTGAACCATCTGGAATCTAATTTACTCTAGAAAGCTCTTGGACTGCATCACTTTTACTGGGGATAGATGTGAGGAAGGGGATTTTTATTTTCACATTCCTCTGAAGGGCCCTTCATATCAATGTTTTGGCAGTGTAAAGAGGCTGTCAGTGTTGGCACTGCACCCACTCTGAGATGCATTTATGCTTTCATGATATTATAAAAGTGTCTAAGTAGAAATGAAAATTTGGGCTGTGTCTGTTTCTGACAGCAACATTTAGACTCCCAAACTATGATCTCAGGTTCTGTATTCAATTAAATGCTTGACTGTTGGGCTTCAACAGACTTCAGCTATTAATTCCACTAGATATAAGGCAGGGATATGTTGAAAATCTGGACAGCTCTTCTACCTGGGGAATACTAATGTCTTTGGGAGCATTTCAGACCTTTAAGAATATAAATTAATCATGCCCCAGACTGCTCTCATCTCCTGTCTCCCTGTAGAGCTTCCTCTTTTGCCACTGGGGCCAATCATGCAGGAAAGAAAGCACATTTTCATGTTTGCCTGG